AGAGAGGAAGGGAGAAGTGGAAACATCAATAATGAGAGAGAATCATTGATCAGCTGCCTCCTGCACGCCCCCTACGGGGGATCGAGCCCATAATCAGGACGTGGGAATCAAACTGTGACTTCCTGGTTCATATGTTGACGCTCAACCACTGAGCATACTGACCAGGTAGTTTCTGGAATGTTTCTAATAACGTTTTCACTCACTGTTTAGGGATCCTGGATCATAGATTAAATGTTGCTAAACTTAATCTTTAAGTAAGGAGACTGAATAAGAGACTATTGAGGCTTCTGGGAAACTGTCTCAGAGAATTACCAGGAACCAGCCTGCCTGTCTCACTGACTGAAGAACTTGCATTGCTGGGTGGTCACTGAGGAAAGCCCACCTTTAGACAAAGCCAGGTCCTTGGAAGGCAGAAGGGAAGAGCAGAAATGGTCCCTCAAACAAACCCTGAAGCTCAGCTACCTTTCCACCTTTCAGGCAGCTACCACGTGCAATGTGAACAGGCCTGACAGGTTTCCAAGGAGCTGAGATCAAGACCAGGTTCTAACGGCTACCTCTCGGAGTTTGCTAAATGGATTAGGCAAGAAGACAGCTGCCACACACAGAACCAACCGGCAGTGAACCTTGCTGCCCACACACTGGCAGGAGGGCAGGGCTCCCAGCCCCAGCCAAGCCTTACCCACATCTCTCCATGTGCTCCAGGGAACTTCGCTAGAAGATGACTAGTATGAGATGTAACCACAAGAAAGAGAATGGCTTGAACCGAGATAATACCGTATGACATTCATACCATATTTGACAAGCATTTTTCAAGTTTAAGTTAGAAGTGAATTCCACAAGTAATCATAACTGACATTCGTCATGTGCTTCATGCTCTTATTTAACCCTCTCCACGGCCCTGAGGTGGAGGGGTGTGGAGACCCCAACATACAATACCAACTTCCCATCACCCTGGGACGGGTCAGAGGCACTAGCTGTGGTTAGATTGGTGTCAGTCCTTCCGCCTGAAAAGTGCCCCAGAATATGGAGCCAGGAAAGCAGCCACAGTCCACAGGGACTATTTTCTTACCAGGTCACTGTTACTCCAGAAAGATGGATCAGGCGCCACCCGAGTCCCTGCAAAGCTCTAGGAGGCACCTTCAGCAAACCACCCCCCGTTTCCTATGGACTCTCAGAATGTTGGCAATGGAGCCCTGGCTTCTGAAGCAAGTACAAAACACATTTTGCTGCCCAGGTCCCATTTTGCTGTTTCTATCTCTGATGTGTCCCTGCCCCCAGACGTTGCCCCTCCCAGGCCTCTCCCAGGCCCGGTTCTTTCCCCCAAATAGAGCTAATAGGGAGGTTCCCATCCTGCTGCCATTGAGAAGGATGGCTTCTGTTTGACCCCCGCTCCCCCAGGTAGGCCCTCCAGATGGGAAGGGGAACTCAAGCAATGGTGTGCAGTCAGTGGCCTCCACTTAACCATGGGATCTGCACCAGGGGTCTCTACCGCAGCAGGTGCCTCGTCCCCTTTTAAACAAATATTTTGTAATTCCACCTTTACTATCCTGAGCTGGAATTTACAAAGAATGTGACCTATGCCTGCACATACAATGCTAACATACCCTACGTGTCACATCAAGAAGAAATGTCAGAGTACTCTATAATGAAATGCTCCATATTAAAGAAACACACAACTACAGAAACTCTCCACATGCCCCTGGAGAGAAGCCTTTTCTTCACTGACACTTGTCCCCACCATACCCAAAAGGTGGCTGCTGTCCCACCAAGGGCCTGTCCAGAACCCAACACCCCGTGAATCAGCCTCCCCGACCCGCCACGGCCCACAGCCTGGATCTCAGCACTCACCGCCTTGACTCACCTGGGCTCCCCCCAAAGGAGACCCAA